ATAATACCTCAATTTCTAATGTTAACCCATCATAATAGCAAAATGAATAAATTTTCAAATCAAATGTTAAATCAAGACTAATATCCAAACAAAGAATTAGTAATGGCCCTCAATTGAAGGCTACTAAAAAGACCTAATGGATTTATTTTGCTTTTTGGGATATGGATTATCAAGTATAAGACTCGATTAAAATGTTTACAAACAAAATTATATGAGGATATGTACTACATGCACCATGCACAAAGTAAGGATGTATGTGAGGCGCAAAAGGCGTTGATGCATCAGATGTGGGGCGCTTCGCCACCGCTCCGCACTGCAAGGCGCAGTTAGGCGCGCGCCTTTGAAAACACTAGAAGTAAATCCGTTGGGATAGTTAAAATAGAACCCAAGCTACTTGTAGGAAGTCATTCATAAAGTTTGCTCATAAAGTTGCTCACTTAGTGAATTTATGCATCGTGATATATAGAAGGAAGAGCTCGTTATTACTAAGAGCTTGAGTGGGAGCTATCTACTACTAAATATAGTATGAATTTTAATTATGACCATACTTCGAAGTTAATATGAGATATTTGTATCATGTGGACCAAGTAGGAGAATGTTGTATCCAGATAAAGTAGTGCCCCACATGATAATGAGTATCTTAATTTGTTACGGTAATTGAATTCTTATCCTATAAAGAGTTGTAGTGGATTGAGATAAGATCATATATAAATAGTTTCCCTGATGAATGGAAACTGTCTTTAAGGAGTCGTATCTTTTAAAATTTTCAGATATAATATAAGGATCCTATCTTAGCCTATAAATACAGTCATAGTTTCTATATCAGATTTAGGCTATTCGATAATGCATAAGCTAAAAACTCTTTCCATATTTTTTATTTTAGTCGTGATCTAATTTTTGTTCTTTGTTTCTGTATACGCTCAGATTATCTCTAGTTTTGATCTAATTTTCTGAGTTACAAATCGTTCTAGGCAACAATGGCTGGAGGTATCTTTTAATTTAATTAATATCTGTTGAGTACTCTATATTTATTTAGATTACAATTTCTAACAGTTAAAGTTGGCCGTACTTTTTTGTTTCTCTGATTTGAACAAAAAGACATTTACTAGCAACACGATATGAGTACAATACTAGAATCACAAAACACACAAGAAAGTAGAGTGGATGTGAAGAATCAATAACTTTTAGACATGTTTGTAAAGAAATATAAGACAAATAAGACATTAGGTGGGAGTCTATCATCCTTCCATGTTACGCCGCAAACTAACAAAGATATTAAGTAATTATATAATGAAAGTATGTGAAAGCTGGCCACATATCTTTTTATCAAGAGAACTTAAAATCTCAACTTCAATATCCTTCGTAGATATTTCCAGATGTGTAGCACATACGAACTTTTTTACTCCAATCCTAAACTTAGATCATTGTTTTATACATCTATTTGCTGATCATGACATATACACCTCCAAATCCACCAGTTATATCAATTCTTGAAGTATTTTGTTGATAAAATCTTAGCTCATATCCTCAAAGCACGTTGGACTCAATCCTTCAAGCCACGCCAATCTGAAATAGCATTCAACTTTTTGGGTGAGCTCTCAACATGCTCAGTAAGTTGTACGTATTCATTAATTTATGTAACTAAAATCATGCATATACCAAAATGCACTATTGGTATTTGGAATTACATGATGGTAATTTGGCCGAATGAGTTCATAAAAAATGTACAATGTTTTTTAAATCTTCTTCGTGCACAAAAATCAGGTATTACCACTCTCTCAACAATAGACCTCCTGCAATGGGGGTTCAGAACCTCGCATTGTGGCACACTGCCTTTTACATCGTTTTTCAACTAAATTGCCAACCACCACAATATGTTTAGTCCGAACTGCAAACAATGACGCTATATCGTCATCATTCTTGATAGGTTTGACTAACTAAAGTTCTAAACGAACACTAGATTAACGTACAATGCCAGTAGCGGAGGTATGAATTTCAACAAGGGGGTCTAAAAGAATTTATACTTAAACACAATAATATTTTCTTTTTCATGATTATATCTTCACTACATAAATATATGTTTGAATTACAAAATCTAATTTTAGATTAAAATATAATATTTATCAAACACAACAATGAATATAACTACAAACAAGTACTAATCTTTCACGAAATTATAAGATCCTAAGTTAACACAAAAGAAAAAAAATAGCCAAAACATTATCCAGAAGTTTCTATAAGGATTATCTGCATTAAAACTATCCAACTAAACATATTTGTATACAACCACAACAAAATTATCCACATTGAACTTATAAGCATTCAAGGGTTTTTCTCCACATATTTCTCATCAACATCTTATAAGAACAATGATTGCATTTTGGTTTGCATTTTGTCTATTGGATATTAAAAATTCAATTAGTTCATTGAATATGTTCCAAAAAGACTATTAAATTTTTTGCTGACAATATAAAATCTAATAAGATCAACCAAGAAATAGACTTCAAAAATTAAAAGAAATAAGAAAGAAAATAATTGCAAATCAACCAATCAAGAAGTAAAACTCTCAAAACTCAAAAGATAATTTTTTTACATGCGCATCAACATTGTGGGGCTAATTTTTTTCTTTTCATTTCTAGATCCTAGGAACTTACGTATCTACATTTTTAGATATTTCCATTTTTAGATACTAGATCATAGAATTTTACAATGTCATTACCTTATTCTTTGCAATTTTATTTTTTTAAAGTCCAAGGCCCTTCCGACCCTTATGTGGTTCCGACACCATGTTATTCCTCAATATGATCCCAACATCATTTAGTGAAATATGCATGTCATGTATAACCTATAATGGAAAAATCAAATAATCAAATATACCAAGATCGATATGGATCAAATTTATGCCTACAACGGTCATGAAATATTGTAGATCATATTTTGAAAAATTAATTACATGCTTGTATAGTAATAAAAAATATCAATATATCATTCTCATGTAAAAGGCAAGAAAATCGTAAACTAAAGAACCATGTAGTTCTCTAAGAGTTATTGTAACTCTTATTAGGCTTTTCTAAGACAAACACGTAAATATCAAATTTTAAATAAGCCCAAAGTTTAACATGTAATAAGTAACTACACGCTAAATCCAAATAGATGTAGGCATATAATCAAAAGCTTAACAACTATATTATCCGATATTGGATGATTTAGGATTTACCTTTAAGTATTTCTTTTTCCACTTCTTTTCCTTTTCTCCTTGTTTTAGGAATAGGGAGAAATACAGGAAGCAAGGTATTGAATACCCTTCTACATCTCTTTCTTAGTCAGAGGACAAATATCTCTTCCCTCTCACCATACAGTGATACATCCCTAACTCCTCCTTAGCCATGTGTTCATCCATTCCTTCCAAGATAACACATCCTCCACCTCCTACTTTATCATGACATGTGCCCTATTTTGCAATAAAGTTGTTTCTATTTTTCATATTCACACATCTTTTATTTTATTATTACAATATCATATCAATTTGTCTTTGTATTTGCAAATATTTATTGCAAGATCATATAAATCCGTTATCTAACTCATAATAAATTGATAAACACAAAGATAAATATTCGGGGTATGAAACCTCAGATCAAGGCAGCAGACAATAGGTTTTTTTCTAAAACAAACACGTAAGTATCAAGTTTCAACTCAGCTCACATTGTATATGCGATAAGTAACTATACCCTAAATCCGAATAAACACAAGTATTATAATCAAAAGCCTAACAACCATATGTTTCTATAATCAAAAGAATCAATTTAGCACTTACCTTAAGTATTTCCCTTTTTCTCTTCTCCTTTTCTCCTCTTTCTTCTGTTTTTCTCTTCTTCTCCTCTTCTTTTTTTTTTCTTCTCATCTAATTTCTTCTTTTCTCTCTTCTTTTCCTTTTCTTCTTTTTGTTTAGGAATAAGGAGGAATATAAGGAGCAATGTGTTAAATACTCTTCTCAGTCTCTTTCTTAGTCCCAGAAAAAATATCTCTTGCCTCTCACCCTCCAGTGAAACCTCCCTAACTCCTCCTTAGCCATGCATTCATCCCTTCCTTCCAAGATACCACATTCTCCTTCACCTCCTCCTTTATCATGACATGTGTTCTATTTTGCAATAAAGTTATTTCTATTTTCATTTCCACACATCATTTATTTTCTTATTATAATATCATATCGATTTTTCTTTTATTTGCAAATATTTATTATAAATTCATTATCTAATTCATAATATATTAATAAACACAAAGATAAGAACATGGGGGTATGAAATCTCAAGTCGAGGCGGCAACTAGAGCTAATGTTACCTTAGGAGATCCTCGAGTTCATACTTCTTTAGAGAATGAGTCGTTGATTTTGGAGGCAGCGAGATTTCCAAAGTGACGAAAGCAAGACGAAAGGAAAGAACAGCCATTTTGGGGATTGTTGTCGCACCTTGGGAGTTGAGGGTTTTATTCTGTAGCAATCTAGGTTTTAGATGCTAGTGGGTGTAGTTACTGCGTTGCGGAGAGGAAATGGAGGGTGGGGGTATTGCATTTTTTGGTTTGGTGAGAGTGAGAGTTGCAACTATATTTGCAAATTCAACTTGGTTGCAAGTGCGAATCACAGCTTAGATTTGGCATAACTCATAAGTTGTAGTAAAGAGGTATTCGCAACTGTAGTTGCAACTGCAACATCTACATATAACGAAACAAACACTTGTGATTGGGAAAATGACTAAATTACGTGAAATTGCAGTTTGCAACCACTTCAGTTGTGGGCTACTGATCAACCCCTTAACGCAACTTTATTACATGATAGGCCAAAATCAAGATTCATTCAATTCTGGTGATCTAGTAACCCATTGAAGTAAAAATATTGCCATGTTGTACTTTGTTGTCAGAAATTTGTACTTTGTAAATAATTAACTAAAGATCCCAATGCAAATCTAAGTGTATTTTTAAGAAAAAGTAAAAGAATATTCTCAAACCTTGATGAGGGATAGATGATACAGTCCGAAGGAGATTGGTTAGTATATAACGACTGGTTAAAGCTACTTATTGGTCTTTAAGTTCCTCTTAACTTTCTTCTTGTCATCACCTTGTCCCTGCAAACATATGGAGGAAACTTATAAGCAAGAGCATTTTAAGAGATGGGCATTTAATGCTCCCACATCTTATTTATATGCATAAAGGTTGACCACCTTATATAATTGGTTCAAACAAGTTACAGTTTTCTCTTGGCGTAAAAACCAATCCATCGCCATTTCGTACTCAATCGTGTTAGGCTGAGAGCAGTGAGATGTTGATACAGCCTTTCTCTAAATTGCACAGTAGTACATAACCATCAGAAAAGGGCAAAGGTTATATAAACGGATTTCAGAGGAAGAAAACAGCAAAATCAGTACCATTTCCTCCCTTTGCAGCCTCCTCCTGTTGACTGTAAGATGACCAACAAGTGTAGTTGTCTTTGGAGGCATCGGCAACATACCTTTACTGGCCACGAAGGGACTGCATAAATAACAATGAGATCAACAACATTTAGAATGGTACGGCTAAAATTGGCTTGGACATGATCCTTGTTCAGCTAGCTAAAATCTTCATCTGGCATCTGGATTAATTTAAACTCAGAAGTTTTTGAAAGTAATTATGTTAATGATTTCATTAAAGACTAATGTGGGATGACGCCAGGAGTTTTGGTGCTTCAATACATAACACAAATGACAATAACATAAGGCGTAAGTAAAGGTTTTTGCATATATGCTCTAGTTAAAAATGTCACCGATCATGCCAAAACATCAAAATGTAAATCAAGTTTGAGAAAATAGGTTAAATCTTAGACGGCAAACCAATAGAAACGTCAAGAAGAGTCAACAAATGAAGAAAAAGGAAAAAAGAAAGTATTTCACTCCATATCCGTAGTATAACAAAGACTTTATCCCAAATTTAATATAAAAACCCACTGTCATAAAGATAATCATTATAGTTAGAGAATTAAGAAAATAACATTAAGACAAGTTGTAAAATCTCTGCAGATACTTCATGACTTGAAGTCCTTTTCGTAAGCAAAGAGAACGGATATCATAAATGATTTTCAGATTGCTGAAACACCCTACAATGAGTCTGTGGCTTTGCGAGCGAGCGAGAGTGAGAGAGAGAGAGAGAGAGAGAGAGAGAGAGAGAGAGAGAGGAGGGAATGAGGCTGATGATTGCAGGAAGACAAGCACACAACACGGCAGCAAGCTTTTGTGTTACAAATTTACAAATGCAGCAAGTGCATGATGTGTTATCTATGGAAACACCAGTGATGGCAAAAGTAGTACAACAATATGAACCAGTAGGGCCCGTATATTCTACAAAAAGCTTGCAGGCAAGACATTCATTGGTGCAAACATCTTATAAAACCCAGATTCCGATATCAAGATAACAACAAAACCAGTAATAACTCGTCTTATAAACACTGCTACATGGAAGACCACATAGACAAAATAAGAAAGAAGTGCATGTTCAATTGATGCATATGAATCAACTATCTAGTTGCAGATTTTGGCTATAAAACTGGAGAACTTATAAAATAAAATAGCAGAAGGAATATAGACGATAACACTTGAAAATGATGAGTGATTATGTTAAGAATAGAAACTGCCAATAAAGAAATGTAGTATATAATCAAGGAGGTGTGTACCTTCCATCCATTAAACATCCTGTATTAATCTTTTGAACTGCCTCATTTGCTGCATCACGCGATTTAAAAACAACGTATGCTTCACCTGAGGAGCAAAATTAACTTTTCTCATTATACTTATTAGAACATGTAATGAAGCAATTTAACCAAGAAACGTAACCTCCTTAAGGCTCTTGGCGTAAAAACCAATCCATCGCCATTTCGTACTCAATCGTGTTAGGCTGAGAGCAGTGAGATGTTGATACAGCCTTTCTCTAAATTGCACAGTAGTACATAACCATCAGAAAAGGGCAAAGGTTATATAAACGGATTTCAGAGGAAGAAAACAGCAAAATCAGTACCATTTCCTCCCTTTGCAGCCTCCTCCTGTTGACTGTAAGATGACCAACAAGTGTAGTTGTCTTTGGAGGCATCGGCAACATACCTTTACTGGCCACGAAGGGACTGCATAAATAACAATGAGATCAACAACATTTAGAATGGTACGGCTAAAATTGGCTTGGACATGATCCTTGTTCAGCTAGCTAAAATCTTCATCTGGCATCTGGATTAATTTAAACTCAGAAGTTTTTGAAAGTAATTATGTTAATGATTTCATTAAAGACTAATGTGGGATGACGCCAGGAGTTTTGGTGCTTCAATACATAACACAAATGACAATAACATAAGGCGTAAGTAAAGGTTTTTGCATATATGCTCTAGTTAAAAATGTCACCGATCATGCCAAAACATCAAAATGTAAATCAAGTTTGAGAAAATAGGTTAAATCTTAGACGGCAAACCAATAGAAACGTCAAGAAGAGTCAACAAATGAAGAAAAAGGAAAAAAGAAAGTATTTCACTCCATATCCGTAGTATAACAAAGACTTTATCCCAAATTTAATATAAAAACCCACTGTCATAAAGATAATCATTATAGTTAGAGAATTAAGAAAATAACATTAAGACAAGTTGTAAAATCTCTGCAGATACTTCATGACTTGAAGTCCTTTTCGTAAGCAAAGAGAACGGATATCATAAATGATTTTCAGATTGCTGAAACACCCTACAATGAGTCTGTGGCTTTGCGAGCGAGCGAGAGTGAGAGAGAGAGAGAGAGAGAGAGAGAGAGAGAGAGAGAGAGTAGGGAATGAGGCTGATGATTGCAGGAAGACAAGCACACAACACGGCAGCAAGCTTTTGTGTTACAAATTTACAAATGCAGCAAGTGCATGATGTGTTATCTATGGAAACACCAGTGATGGCAAAAGTAGTACAACAATATGAACCAGTAGGGCCCGTATATTCTACAAAAAGCTTGCAGGCAAGACATTCATTGGTGCAAACATCTTATAAAACCCAGATTCCGATATCAAGATAACAACAAAACCAGTAATAACTCGTCTTATAAACACTGCTACATGGAAGACCACATAGACAAAATAAGAAAGAAGTGCATGTTCAATTGATGCATATGAATCAACTATCTAGTTGCAGATTTTGGCTATAAAACTGGAGAACTTATAAAATAAAATAGCAGAAGGAATATAGACGATAACACTTGAAAATGATGAGTGATTATGTTAAGAATAGAAACTGCCAATAAAGAAATGTAGTATATAATCAAGGAGGTGTGTACCTTCCATCCATTAAACATCCTGTATTAATCTTTTGAACTGCCTCATTTGCTGCATCACGCGATTTAAAAACAACGTATGCTTCACCTGAGGAGCAAAATTAACTTTTCTCATTATACTTATTAGAACATGTAATGAAGCAATTTAACCAAGAAACGTAACCTCCTTAAGGTATGGCTATTAGGGCTGTGCATGGTTTGGTCTAGACCGAAAAAAACAACCGAACCGACCGAAAATTAGCAGTTTGGATCGGTTTTGTTCGTAGGTCGGTTTGAATCGAGTTGAAAACTTTTCAACCCCAACCGCCCGAACCGACCGCATCACTAATAACACTATAATTTTTATTTCGTATCCATTAGAAACCATACCCGACCCGTTCACTAAAATCCCTCAAATCTCAATACCTAAACCCTAAAACCAAGCCCACAGCAGCACTTCCTCTCTGTCCACAGTTCCGCACTCCGCTCTCTCTGCACTCCGCAACGCACCGGCGCAGGCGTTAGGCCGCAACGCAAGATCGTACCACAGCGCCTACCAGCGCAACGCCACAGGCGTAGCTTCTCTCGTCGACTCCGACTCGCCGACGTCGTCTCAGACTCGCTGCCTGTTTGTTGCCTCGAATTTCTTTCAGCTGCCGACTCGAATTTCCTTCACTTGCCGCCAAGCAGCCACTCATCACCGTCTTCATGGCCGAGGCTGAACCATCTCCTCAGGATCCATCTCCTGCTTTGGGGACACTCGCACCCGTAGTGGAGGTATAAACTGAAAACCCTAATTTTGAATCTATGCTTTCAGTTTCAAGGGGAAAGATCTAAATTTTTTAGTTCTTGATGCATGCTACTAAATTGTACATTAGTGAGAAATAATTAGCTTAATTAGATTTTATGATTAAAAATAGATTTTCAGGGGGACTACAAATTAGATCATAAAAAATACACATTCTCACAAATTAGAACCGAACAAACCGAACCGAACAGAACCGAACCGACTTGTAACAATCAAGGTTTTAAATATCGGTTATCGGGGATTTATCGGATGGCCAAAATCCTTATCGGATAGCGAAAATCGGGGATATATCGGGGATAAGTAGTATTTATCGGAGTGATATACTGGATGGTATATATATAATATAATATAAAAACAAAAGTTAAAAACTCAACAAAAAACAAAAATCAAGTAAATCCCGCTGGAGATAATTCACGGAGTAGATAATTTACGGAGATTCTTCACAACAAGTCTCACAAGTAGATAATATTTGTTTAAAGAACAACAAAAATCAACTTAAAAAAAACAGAAATAGTTCGAAGGCGAGAAGAACTGATACATGTTCAAGTAAATCTCGTTGGAGTTCGAAGGCGAGGCGAGCGAAGTTCACGGAGATTCACGAAGGCAAGGCGAGCGACGAGATTCACGAAGG